GCTTAGTGGTGAGCACTGCTGCCTCACAGGACACGGGTTCAATTCCACTCTTGGGCGACTGTCTGTGTGGAGTTTGCACATTCTCCCCGTGTCTGCGTGGGTTTCCTCCAGATGCTCCGGTTTCCTCCCACAGTCCAAAGATGTACACGTTAGATGCTAAATTGCCCACAGTGTCCAGGAATGTGCAGGCTAGGTGGGTTAGCCATGGGAAATGCAGGGTTACGAGGATAGGGTGGGATGCTGTTTAGAGGGTTGGTGCAGAACCAATGGGCTGAATGGCCTCTTTCTGCACTGTAGGGATTCTATGATTCCTTGTACTCCCACCATCACTGAGGTTTCGCAACGGCAGGTCAATATCAGGAACCACTGCAAGATGGCGGCCACCTTTATGGATATAGTTATAGGGCACCATTGCTAGAAGTAGAGTGCCCTCATCACCCCAGCTGCCAGCTCCATGTATACTGCCTCCCAATGGTCAGGCCATCAGAACCAGAAGATCAAAACTCAGCAAAGGTCCTGTCTATGACCCAAACAGTGCCTCCACCCTGCTGAGCCCCTCTCAAACATTCACTAACTGCACCCCACGCCCATGCCCTGATTCTCCGAGGCTGTTGCCATGCTGAGGGGGTCACGTGGTTACCTACCACCCCACCTCAGCAGCCTTGCCACCCCTTAATTGCTCCTGAGCTCTCTCCTGGACAGAGTGGGCTTGGGACCCTTGTCCAGTGACTGCGCTCTCCCCTTTTCCCTGTGACCCAACCTTTGGTATGGATACCATGTTAACAGATCGCCCCCTCAGGCACCTTCAGAAACATGACGTTGGTGATGAAAGGTGCATTGACACATTGCAAGATCTGGAGAGGTTACCTTTTTTGTGAAATTACCAACAGATCAGCTTCTCATCTCTTTACAGGACTGGACCCCATCTCTTTACACACCTGGAAAGAGGAAACAGTTTAACTTGTAAATGACGCATGCTGGTTCAACTGGCCTTGGATACCTCTAATATGACCAATGAATTCATTTCCAATTATTAATGGTTTGTTAAATGTTTTTTTCACCTCTGGGGGGCTTAATAGGGAAATATACCTCTGGGTTTGTGAGGCACAGGAACTGCTTGCCTTGGTTTAGCACCAGGTAAACTTCTACTTGCCAATATCAATGGGCTGGGTGCAGCATCCGCAAAATATAGACACGTTTTCAAACTTGTGTAAATATGCTCCCTCCCACAAAAACCACAAAATGTACTTACGTCCAGTGCGAAGAGACAACTTGCCTCATTTCCTGTACAAACTTGGAGTCATAGACTCATAGACATAGAGGTCTACAGCATAGAAACAGACCTTTCGGTCCAACTCGTCCATCTCGACCAGATATCCTACATTAATCTAATCTCATTTGCCAGCGTTTGGCTCATATCCCTCTAAACCCTTCCTATTCATATACCCATCCAGATGCCTTTTAAATGTTGTAATTGTAACAGTCTCTACCACTTCCTCTGGCAGTTCATTCCATACGCACCATCCTCTACGTGAAAAAGTTGCCCGTTAGATCCCTTTTAAATATTGCCCCTCTTACCTTAAGCCTATGCCCTCTAGTTTTGGATTCCCCCACCCTGGGGAGAAAAAGACCTTATCTATTCACCCCATCCATGCCCCTCATGATTTTATAAACCTCTATAAGGTCGCCCCTCAACCTCTGACACTCCAGGGAAAATAGCCCCAGCCTATAGCTCAAACTTTCCAATCCTGGCAACTTCCTTGTAAATCTTTTCTGAACCCTTTCAGGTTTCACAACATCCTTAATATAGCAGGGAGAAAAGAAAACTTGAACAAAGAGGTGTGGAGAGCGTATTGAGTAAAATTATAACCATTGGAAAGGGCAATTGTTTGCTCATTCTAAATGTTCACAAAAGGAACAAGTGAAGGCCACTTGGCCCCGCTAGCCAGGTTTCCCATTCAATAAGATTATGGCTAACCTGATTATAACCTCATTGCAAAATATCTACCTGGCAATCGTTCAACCTCTTGGTTATCAAGAATCTCTGCCTTAAAAATATTTAAAGAATTTGCTTCCACTACCTTTTGAGGAAGGGAACTTCAAAGGCTCACAACCCACTGAGAGAAAAAAAAATGACAACTAACTGTTTAAACAATGTCTTCTTTCAACAAAGATATTTAAACACTGATGAAAAATGCTTCAAATAAAAACAGAAGTCCCCAGAAAAGGCGATTTGTTAGATCTTCAGATTGGATCTGAACTGACCCTTCCTACTGAACTGAGGGAAGATCTTTTCTGTACAACTCTCAGTAATGGAACCACAAAACTAGTTCCTGTAAACCACTTCTTTTGGGGAAAAAAAACTGTTGTGTCATGTTTTACCAGCCACTTCTCGAGCGATCGCTGTGTGGGCTAGGAGGCGAGGACTGTGGGCTCAGAAAGGACTCAGGGTTCTCGTGAGAAAACATTTCCAAACAGAAAAGGGCTTCGGAAATCTGAAGCACAAAGGGATTTAGGAGTCTTAGTTCAGGATTCTCTAAGGTTAACATGCAGGTTCAGCTGGAGATTAGGAAGGCCAAAGCAATGTTCGCATTTCATTTTGAGAGGGCTTAAATATAAGGGCAGGGATGCACTGCTGAGGGTGTATTAGGCTCTGGTCAGTCTGCATTTGGAATATTGTGAGCAGTTTTCAGCCCAATATTTAAGGAAGGATGAGCTGGCCTTGGAGGGGGTCCAGAGGAGGTTCACAAGAATAATCCCGGGGATGAAGAGCTTGTCATATGAGGAGCGGTTGAGGCCTCTGGGTGTGTACTTGATGGAGTTTGGAAGGATGAGGGAGATCTACTGTAACTCACAGAATATTGAGAGGCCTAGATGCAGTGGACATGGAGAAGATGTTTCCACTGGTAGGAGAGACTAGAACCTGAGGGCACAGCTTCAGAGTGAAGGGATGACCCCTTAGAACTGAGATGAGGAGGAATTTCTTCAACCAGAGAGTGTGAATCTGTGGAACTCAATGCTGTAGAAGGCTATGGAGGCCAGGTCGTCGAGTGTATTTAAGACAGAGAGATATAGGTTCTTGATTAGTAAGGGGATCAAAGGTTACAGGGAGTAGGCAGGAGAATGGGGTTAAGAAACATATCAGCCATGATTGAATGGTGAAATGGATTTGATGGGCTGAATGGCCTCATTCTGCTCCTATATTTTATGGTCTTATAGGCAGTAAAGGGCTGTGTCTCAGCTTCGTCTCCTTGCTCTTATACTCTATGCCCCGGTAGTAAAATCCAGGAAGCTGTACTCTGAATTAACTGCCCCCTCTACCCATCCTGCCACCTTCATGATGTTTCAACATTGGTAAGAAAGTTAAAAAAAAGCAAAATACAAAAACAAACAAAAACAGAAATTTCTGGGAAAACTCAGCAGGTCTGCCAGCATCTGTGGAGACAAATCAGAGTTAATGTTTCAGGTCCAGTTATCCTTCTTCGGAACTTAAGCTTCAGTTAAGATCAACTCTGCTTTCTCTCCACAGATGCTGCAAGACCGCCTAAGCTTTTGCAGTGATTTCTGTTTTCGTTTTTTGAAGAAAGTAACCTGTCAAGAGGAGATAGAGAGCCTCCACAGGGATATTGCCAGCAGAGGTGAGAGGAAAAATAATCAGCAGATGGAATATAATGTACATTTTGAATGAATGATTTATTGTATCATAGAATCCCTACAGTGCAGAAAAAGGCCATTTGGCCCATTGAGTCCACACTGACCCTCCAAAGAGCATTGCACCCAGACCCATCCCCTCCGCTATCCCTGCATTTCCCATGGCTAATCCACCTAGCCTGCACATCGCTGGACACCATGGGCAATTTAGCACTGCCAATTCACCCTAACCTGCACATCTTTGGAAAGCGGAGCACCCGGAGGAAACCCACACAGACACGGGGAGAATTTGCAAACTCCACACAAACAGTTGCCCTGAGGCTGGGATCGAACCCAGGTCCCTGGCGCAGTGAGGTAGCAGTGCTGCCCATAACAAAATACACCAAAAAACTTTCAATTGTCGCCGTAATCCATTGCTGTTTTGACAGTTTAAGAATAAGGGAAAATGAAAAGATATAGCTTAAAGAGAAGTCTGTCTACGTTCGAGTTCTGAGCTGTTTGACAACCAAACTGACCCACCACACCCAACTAAAGTCGATATTGCTGAAATAAAGAGAGGATAGAAAGAGATTGCAAAATTCAGTGGTTCAGAGGGATTAGGGTGGCCTGATAAATGAATCACACAAAAAAATTGAGTGAATAGATATTTAACCAAATCCCACTTCCATTCTGAAGGGAATGTAATACTCCCACAATTCAAAGAGCAAGGGAGAATTTTCCAATGTCTGTCCCCAGGAGGCAACATTTATCCCTCAACCAACATCCCAAAGAGAGAGGTAGACAATCAGGAGGCTGGAAGAACACAGCAAGCTAGGCAGCATCTGGAGGGAAGAAGCAGTCAACATTCCGGGTATTACCCTTCCTCAGGCAGTTCTGCCTGGCCTGCTGTGTTCTTCCAGCCTGCTGTTTGTCTACCTTGGATTCCAGCATCTGCAAGTTTTTTTTCATATTTTGTCCCAAAGAGATAATCTGGACACATTATCACACTGCTGTTCATGGAAGCTAGCTTTGAGGAATTTGGCTGTTACAATGTTTCTTCCATGTCGACAATTCAGAAAGATTGTATCACCCTTGCAACACTTAGGATCATCCTGTCCTGGTGAACAGTGGTTGATAAATGAGAGCCCCTTCCACTCTGTTTTCCCCCAAACTGCTCTTAAAACCTTAAATACTTGTTTGCTACATCCTAGGCAGCACACCGGCATTGAGTCGATTCATATGTAAATATCCACACAGCAGTTGGCTGATTCACTACGAAACTTGGCAGAAGAAACAGAGGGGGTACTGACAGCTAGAACACGTATTGCTGAACTTCAAGTGTAATTAATTGGAGTTCTAGAGTTGAAGAAGGAGGTGTAGCTCCCTGACAGAGACTGAAACAAATTGTTGAAACTGAGATCAGGACAAACGAGACGCCAAGGGCTTCGTATCTCGAGTTACTTTCTCAAGAGTTGCAGCCAAGTTACAATGTGAGTACTGTATGTAAATCTGCTTTCTTTGCAAATGATTGATTTGTTTTAAAACAAAGAGGTGCAGCAGGTTCACATCTGAATGTTGCTGCAGCACAGAATTTTACTGACCCTGCTGCATCCAAGAGTGAAGAAATCAGGAGTGCAACACTGGACTCATTGACAATGACCCACTGGCCGGGTGTCTATTCTAACCTAAACATATGTAAAGTCGGAGCTTTGTTCTAAACGCTGCAGCTATTCAGTTATCCCACAGAGTGGGGTGTAGCAGCATATCAGGGACAGGTATGCAGAATGTTTCCTGTTAAGGCTCAACTCCTCTTGGCTGTCAGTTTAGGATTATATCAATTCGGTTCCATTATCTCCCTTTCAGACAGTGCTCGGTTCTCGATGGACTGGGATTTGAGGAGTTTGGGGGGTGGGTGGTAAGGGAGCATTCAGGTCGTGGTTTACCCAGCTGTGAATAGGCCCCAGTTTCCTGGACCCCACAATCAGATGACTCTGGCAACTCTCCCATTCACCTCAGAGCACTTTCTCAGTGAGCCCAGTGCAGATACTAATTACACCAGCCTAGTCAAAAAACTGATTTATCATTGACAGCACACTTATTACTCTGTATGTGTCAATTTACACAGACAGGTAAACAGGGAGTGAATACATTATTATCAGCAGAGGGAGATTTTGTATGAAAACAATATTTTGCGAAACAAATATGAGATTAGGATTGTATCCAATTGCCAAAAGGTTGAGATGAGTTAAACGCCCTCATCCTAAACAACGTGCAAGTAGTGGAATGTGTTGACCTAAGAGCAAGTTCAGGCATGATATTGGTGCCAGTAGAGTTTACACTTTCAGAGTGCGGAACTCGAAGTGATCACTTATAGAATGCCAGAGGAGGGGGAAGACAAACCAGTAAAACTGGTGAATGAGACATACTGGCGTAACTGAAAACATAAAATACTGGAAATCAAAGCAGGTCAGGCAGCATCTGTGGATATTGCTCGAATTGCTGTGATTTCCAGAATTTTTTTGTTTTCGGTACAGATTCCAGCATCTGCAGTAACTTGCTCCTATACAAGTGTCACTAGTTTTGTACACCTCAAGGTGAAGCTCCAGTACATGCATTTCCCAGTGTTACTGGGCTTGCCCTCTGCAGTTATGCCTCACCCAGGCTCAGCTGCTCTGATCCACATGCTCTCACCCAAACTTGCTCACCTCAGAGCTATGGAGATTTCTCCTTTGTAGCTGGTTAGGATCCACCCTCCCTGCTGCTGTGCTGAGAAGTCCTGATGGCCAGGTATACAGACCTACTTTGACCCAGGGAATCGTCGATTTCTTTAAATCTCACCAACTCACTTCTTGAACCTGAAGCAAGGGGCCTGACGTTTTTGTAGCTTTACACACATCCCCTGTAGCCTATGTGCTGGATGGGACTAACCACCCTCTGATCTTATAAGTTTGCCTTCAATGGGTTTAAATCAGGAGGGCAGATTGCAGAGACTGTGTTTGTGTTCCTTTCAGGAGAGAAGATGGACAGGTTCTCTCCCACCGATCCTCCCCTCCCACTCCACTGAACGATCCCACAAACCCCTACCTGTACTCACCGATCACCATCCCACCTACCTTCCCCAGCCCCACCTCTCTTCTCTCTATTTATTTCCTAGTTCCCTCCCCCATTACTAAAGAAAGGTCCTGACCCAACCCATCAAGTTTCCTGCTCCCCTGATGCTGCCTGGCCTGCTGTGTTCCTCCAGCTCCACACTATATAGTAAGAGACAGATTATCCATGATCTAATTGAATGGCAGAACAGTCTTGAACCTCAGTAGTGATTGTAACGAGGTCAGACGGGTGGACAACATTGAATATGAGTTCCCTGACTGGGGTTGTTAACCTGGTCGAATCAGGGAGCCCTGGCTGACAGAGTATCAGAGGTTCTTTTCACTCTGAGAGCTGGCTCTGAGGAAGTTAGACCACTGTCAAGTACTATGTACGTGTACATAAAGGGATTTGGTGACAGGATACTGGGTTCTGTGGAGTTATTTCAGGTTACATGGCCTGTTCATGTGCTCCCGATAAAACAATTCTGGAGACACAATCAGGGGTCAGAGCTGTCCCTGGTCAGTGGGTGAAGGGATAAAATCCTTCTTTATAAACACCCGGTCCTGGATCTCCCAGGCACAGACCCCAGATATCTCCTATGCTGTGGGAACCCTGAAAGGTTAAAGTTAAAACACTCCACCTGTAGAGGCAGATCGTATTTGAGGGAACCCCACATCATTCACATACACATTGTAGACATTGAAGATTATTCAATGCAAATTGGCTTTAGAATTTTCCAAGGAGTCTCTGTCGCATTCTTTGTGGCCAAAAAATTGTCTGGAACACCACCAGGAATTCTTCATTGTATTCATCAAATAGATCAAGGTATTTGCTTCAGGAAATCGCAAGGCTCTGGGGACTGTGCTCAGAAGTTTAGATGTCCAAGAAGCATCCTCACAATCCTAGGATTGCTTCAAGAGGATTTGATGACAACTGCATTGAGTGGAAGATCTGAAATGAACAGATCAGCAAGGCTGTGTGGTAGCCCCCATTCTGTTTACAACCTGGGCAGTGGTGTTCCCATGTATCTGCCAGGAACTTCTAGTTTATGGCGGTTATGGGGTTGGAAGGTGCTACCTTAAGGGTCTTTGGAGCGTTGCTGCAGTACATCTTGTAGATGGTACACACTGCTGCTACTGATTGTTGCTGGTGGAGAGACTGGATGTTGATGGTGATGGACGTGGTATCAAACAAGTGAACTGCTTTGCCCTAGTTGTTGTCAAGCTTCTTGGCAGCTGTCTATGAGATTTGTTAATTGAATTTAAATTATCAACGGTTTAAAACTACATTTGAATTTGTTTGAAATTTGAAGACAAAGGAGATCAAATTTTACTGTTTTTTCCCAAAAGTGATAATCACAGAACTCCATGCAATCACAGCAGATAAAACCAAGAAGGTGCCCCTTTATGAAATGATTCAGGACAAGAAATTCCAGTCCCCCTGGACTCTGAGAATTCAATCTTGGGATTTACAATTGAGCCCAATGTGGGTTGAGACCAAAGTTATAACACCTCAAAACAGTAATTCTTATAACTCCCTGGGGGAGCGATCAATGTGTCAAGTTCTTTATACATTTTGAAATGAAGGCAATCTAACTCACTTACTCAATATCCAAGGACTTGCAACACAATCCCACTTATTGTGACTTGATTTTAGCAGCATTGTATTAAGACAAAGTCCTCTTTCTTGAGACATGTACTCTCTGTTCCTATTTTATGTGAGTCTGTGTAAATTTGCAACGATATTTCTTAAATTGCAGAAATAATTAATTATTATATTCTTTTCATTTCCTTATTCCTCCAGTGCTGTTCGGTCTCTTACAGAATGATCTTTGGGGGACATCCGTGGAGAGAGAAATAGATCTTATAGAAGTTCATAAAATCATGAAGCGACAAGGATAGGGTGAATAGCTAAGGTCTTTTGCCCAGGGTAGGGGGCATAGGTTTAAGGTGAGAGGGGAAAGATTTAAAAGGGACCTGAGGGGTAACTTTTTCATGCAGAGGGCGTGTGTGGAATGAGCTGCCCAAGTAGGTGGTGGAGGCTGGTAAAATTACAACATTTAAAAGGCATCTCAATGGGTATATGAATAGGAAGGCTTTAGAGGGATATGGGCCAAATGCTGGCAAATGGGACAAGATTAATTTAGGATACTGTCGGCATGGACGAGTTGGACTGAAGGGTCTGTTTCCATGCTATACAGCTCTTTGACTCTATGAGTCTGTGACTGAGTTGATCAGGTGGATGTTCGGAATTTACTCAGATTCTCTCTTCTGCTGAGAAGCTGCCAGGACCTGCTGAGTATTTACAGTACGTTTTATTATCTGTGGCTGCTATTACAAGCTAATGCTGCCAGGAGATCTGTTGTCATGAAGCCATACTCATGTGAACTTATATTTTCAAAGGAGTCAATTTAACCAGGCTTCCTCGAATTCATAAATAGGGTGAGTTTATTAATTACTACAACTGGGAGTAAACACTAACACAACATACATACACTGATTATAAGTAAGAGGTGAGTCCACAAAGGTAGAAGTTAAGATAAACAGATGTACGGATCAATCTCTGAATTGTTCACACAGAGAGAATATTTCAGCGTTGCAGCTATTGCAGTGAATGTTACTGGTAGCATTGATGTTGATCGTTGACTAATCAGTTTCGTGATCCCATTCCCCTTTGTCTGTTAGAGCTCAGAGAGAGAGACAATCTTTACCTGTAACACAAGGGTGACACAGGTTAGTTCTTGCTCTCATACTTTCACAGCACGTGAACATTCAAACCCAGACTGGTAAACGTAAGAACATAAAGCCCAGCAGCACACTCCAGAAGAGCTGACAAAACACATTTTGAAATTAAAAGCTAGCATTTCAGGGCTCAAACCTATCATTGAAATGCTATCTGCAAACAACCTCTGTTTAATTTTTCTTCTGAAAGTTGACATCTTGAACAATTCTAAAGGGGATGCAGGAGCGGGAGATCTGGGAGTATATGTGTACAGATCATAGAATCCCTACAGTGTGGAAGCAGGGTGTCAACCCATTGAGTCCACACTGAATCTCTAAAGCACATCCCATCCAGACCCAGCCCCTACCCTATCCCTGTAACCCTGCATATCCCATGGCTAACCCACCTAGCCTACGCATCCCTGGACACTATGGACAATCCACCCTAACCTACACATCTTTGGACTGGGAGAGAAAACCCACACAGACGTGGGGAGAACATGCAAACTCCACACAAACAGTCACCCAAGGGTGGGATTGAACCCAGATCCCTGGCGCTGTGAGGCAGCCGTGCTAACCACTGAGCCACTGTGCTGTCCACTGAATCATTGAAAGTGGCAGGACAAGTAGAGAGAGCAGTAAATAAAGCAGTTTATATTGTGTTCTTGGCTTTATTAATA